TTTTACTTTCAATAGATAATAGATTGTTCTCTCTGAAATACATAAGACATTTTCAAATCTGTTTCATCCACTCACTAGGAGTTTATTATCATAAATTTGTAGTATATTACAATATTCAATCTATTTAGCATCAGTACAATCAGTTCCATGAGTATTTATACCAACTATTTTATGACTTATTATAGTGTGTTTTTAGAAATTATATAATTTATATCCTATTTAGAGATTATAGGATTTATATACTATTTAGAGATTTGACCTATTGAATTTAATAACTTTATACATTATGAATATACAATTCAATTTTAGTGTGTTAATTTATTTCAGAAAAATTGATTACAAATAAATTATACTTATATTTTATTAATTTAGAAAACTGGATACGCATGTCTAGGTGTAGTAGCCACATGACATTGTGACCTGTGAGTTATGTACTACCAATTTGAAATAATAACAAATACTATTTTGATAACAATAACTAACTTTATAAATAATATATAATATAGTTATACAAAGCATAATATAGTAGATACATAATATACTATTAACTTGAAATATTTATTTTTGAGAAAAATAAACTAATATAGTATCAATTCATGACTTAATTTTGAAATTGATAAAGCTGAAATTGATTTAATATGTTGAATTTTATTTTTACCAATTTTGCTAAATAAATTATAAATTTTTTGTGCTCTCTTTTTTTTTTTAGTAGCAAGATATCACTAATTGTAGTAGAAAGTTGTTTACTAATTTTTTTATTAACTAATGCTTGGGCTGTATGTTTTGGATTATTTGTTTTATAATATTCATATCTATCAATAAGTGTTTTACCAAAAAGATAATAGGTGGTTATAACTTCTTGATTTATAATTTCATTTTGAGTTTTCGTATAGATTATATTATTGTATAAATCGACAAAATTATTTGCATTTTCTTTTCTAATTACAGGATCTTGTGGAGTACTAGACTTGGTAGATAATTCTTTTATAAGTTTCTTTAGTATAAGTGATTCTTTTTTTACATGTTTTGTTTTTTTGTTAGATAGTTTATTAGGAAATAATAGGTAATCTCCAGTATGCTTATTTGAAGTATCACTTTTTTGTGTAATTATAAGCCTTTTAAATATTGTAGTAATGTAATCATTAAATCAAGATCCTGACTCCCAGGCATGCTATCAACTACAGATTCTATCTCTTTCTTACAATTTTGTTTCAGATATTTTGAACTGATTTTAATAGAACTTTCGATACAATCTCAATAAAATATATGACCACAGATAAGTAAGGTAATTGGTTGTTTTATTTCATATAAAAAAGTTCTTGATTGCATAATGTACATGGGTCAAGTTCTGTAATATTAACATTACTCACAATTTTATTTGAAGATGAATTTTTAAGAATATTTAAGGCAAAGGTTTTTAGACAAGAGATATTAGTAGTCATTGTAATAAATTTTTTACATTACTTACAGAATCTGTTTTATTTATAATGTTAGATTCATTATAAGTAATATAATTACTCTTGCTAACTCTGCTAATAAATTAACAATTTTGAATTCGAATTCTAAATTTACTTACTATAGGTGATCGTAATAAATCTTGTATATATATATCTAATAATTAGTGAGTGGATGAAACAGATTTGAAAATGTCTTATGTATTTCAGAGAGAACAATCTATTATCTATTGAAAGTAAAA